CGTGTTTATCTCCACTTTTTTCTTTAGTGAAAAAAGTGATTAAAGAACTGAACTTCGTGATTAGTTAATCTAATTTTTCCATGTACCCCCTGGCTACTAAAATATACCCCATGAGGTACTTAGCGCTTTGATTGGGAATGACTACAGGGAGTGCAGAATTATTAGGCAAATGAGTATTTTGTCCACATCATCCTCTTCATGCATGTTGTCTTACTCCAAGCTGTATAGGCTCGAAAGCCTGCTACCAATTAAGCATATTAGATGATGTGCATCTCTGTAATGAGAAGGGGTGTGGTCTAATGACATCAACACCCTATATCAGGTGTGCATAATTATTAGGCAACGTCCTTTCCTTTGGCAAAATGGGTCAAAAGAAGGACTTGACAGGCTCAGAAAAGTCAAAAATAGTGAGATATCTTGCAGAGGGATGCAGCAGTCTCAAAATTGCAAAGCTTCTGAAGCGTGATCATCGAACAATCAAGCGTTTCATTCAAAATAGTCAACAGGGTCGCAAGAAGCGTGTGGAAAAACCAAGGCGCAAAATAACTGCCCATGAACTGAGAAAAGTCAAGCGTGCAGCTGCCAAGATGCCACTTGCCACCAGTTTGGCCATATTTCAGAGCTGCAACATCACTGGAGTGCCCAAAAGCACAAGGTGTGCAATACTCAGAGACATGGCCAAGGTAAGAAAGGCTGAAAGACGACCACCACTGAACAAGACACACAAGCTGAAACGTCAAGACTGGGCCAAGAAATATCTCAAGACTGATTTTTCTAAGGTTTTATGGACTGATGAAATGAGAGTGAGTCTTGATGGGCCAGATGGATGGGCCCGTGGCTGGATTGGTAAAGGGCAGAGAGCTCCAGTCCGACTCAGACGCCAGCAAGGTGGAGGTGGAGTACTGGTTTGGGCTGGTATCATCAAAGATGAGCTTGTGGGGCCTTTTCGGGTTGAGGATGGAGTCAAGCTCAACTCCCAGTCCTACTGCCAGTTTCTGGAAGACACCTTCTTCAAGCAGTGGTACAGGAAGAAGTCTGCATCCTTCAAGAAAAACATGATTTTCATGCAGGACAATGCTCCATCACACGCGTCCAAGTACTCCACAGCGTGGCTGGCAAGAAAGGGTATAAAAGAAGAAAAACTAATGACATGGCCACCTTGTTCACCTGATCTGAACCCCATTGAGAACCTGTGGTCCATCATCAAATGTGAGATTTACAAGGAGGGAAAACAGTACACCTCTCTGAACAGTGTCTGGGAGGCTGTGGTTGCTGCTGCACGCAATGTTGATGGTGAACAGATCAAAACACTGACAGAATCCATGGATGGCAGGCTTTTGAGTGTCCTTGCAAAGAAAGGTGGCTATATTGGTCGCTGATTTGTTTTTGTTTTGTTTTTGAATGTCAGAAATGTATATTTGTGAATGTGGAGATGTTATATTGGTGTCACTGGTAAAAATAAATAATTGAAATGGGTATATATTTGTTTTTTGTTAAGTTGCCTAATAATTCTGCACAGTAATAGTCACCTGCACACACAGATATCCCCCTAAAATAGCTAAAACTAAAAACAAACTAAAAACTACTTCCAAAAACATTCAGCTTTGATATTAATGAGTTTTTTGGGTTCATTGAGAACATGGTTGTTGTTCAATAATAAAATTATTCCTCAAAAATACAACTTGCCTAATAATTCTGCACTCCCTGTAGTTTAGATTTGTACAAAGCTTTGGCTGTAAATACAAAGTCTAAAAAACTTACAAACCTTTCTATAAATGAAAAATATATATAAATAAATCCTGCAAGATAATTGCTAGTAGTGCAAGGCCAAGTAACACCTCCGTTATTCTAGTGCAAGGCTCTAAAAGAAAGTGCTACAAGCTGCAAACAGGTATTTACCGTTATACTGTTACTTCCCATCTGCAATCAGTTATGATGATGTCTGCTACAACAGTTTTGCTCTGGAATAAGTTGATATAACACAGCAGTGATTCATCTAAAAATTCAGTTCATGAAAATTTTTGCACTTGCTGTTCTAAACACCTACCAGTCTGGTAGCAGTTTCCTAGGAAAAATCCTCCCACTCACAGGAAGTGATGCATTTATGTTTACAGTTCATTTCAAATAAACACAAGGAAGAAGTGGATCGTTAGCAGTGAAGTTTTTAATCACTGTGGGGCTGTGTCAGTGCAGAAAAGTTATCACTACATTTCACGTCCTCCTTGCCATGATTGTGACCAGTAGTTTGTCACACAGCTTGTCCTGTCTCCTACCTACTGGGACAACAGGAAACATGGTGACACAAACAGTGCATAGGAGTAAAATGTGAAGTAAAGGGGGGGAGATAACTGGAATATTAATGTTTGTCAAGCCTGAGTGATTTATATATTACTCACATTATCCCTGTATTGAAGCCAGTACCTGCTAAACATGGTTTCTCTGTGCCTGTCTGTGTGACGTGCTCATATATTTGTGAGGGATCCCACCAGACAATCGTTAAATGTTGGACCCTCCAAAGAAAAGAAAGTCAAATAAACATTAAGAAAATTGACTTTACTGGGATGATGTGCAGTTGGTAGCTTTAGTCATATAAATGCTTATGTGAAACAGCAGCAATTTCCTAATGTTGTAAACCCGCTCAACATTTGGCAATAAAACCCTTTCTGATTCTGATTCTGATTCTCACTGTCAAGTCTTAGAGAATTTTGCCGTACACAAAAGCATGAGAGGACAACATAAAGTGCTAGCTACGTAGGCACGGAGAAACCTGCAGGGAATGCTCTGTGTCAAATGTAGGATAACTTCACTGGGGTGCTAAGCAGACAGAGACAACAACAAAGTAGACAAATAATACACTAAACATGGAAGCATTATATTTCTAGTTTGTTTGTTCCTAAATACAGATAATGTTCTTCTGTGTCTGACGAAAGCTATCAAAGGCACTATAATATATCTTTTTAACAGTTAACCTCCAAACCAAGGGTCAGGCAGGATACAGATTAAAGTTGTGGTTTACAGATTTATCCAGTTCATCTTTCAATAAAAAAAAATATCAGCACACTTAATTGGATGCCAATTTTACCCTCTGCCGTATTTTTTGGACCAAAAGGTGCATTAAGCGACACAGAACGGTCAGATAAGTCAAACTTTACTCAACTCATTCTTCTTTCTTCCTCCACTTCTGTACCATTGATTCATTAATGTTGAATTCTCTGGCAGCTGCTCTATTCCCATGTTGTTGCAGTATATGAATGACTAACCTCGTATTGTGGATGGATTATCTCAGTTGTTCTCCTGACTGAAGTTTGGTCCGTTTACATCCTGCCATGCGATTGCATTTGTCCCTAACCATCAGGAACCCTCATGTTAATTTTTATCGAGTGGGGAAAAAGTTAGCGTTCATCCTCCAGCTTCACTGTGTTTATGTTATGCTAACATAGCTAGATGGACGTTGATTTTCCATGGAGAACAGAGGTCGTGTCAGACCATCTTCTTGGAAAGTGAGAACTAACAATCAGATTATTGCAAAGAAAAAATGTATTTGCATTTGTCTGTGCAAAATAATTTTCTTTGATTAAATGACAACTAACATGGTTCTGTCATCTCTGTGTACACAGAATCGTGTTACTAAAGATTGTTTAAAAATAACAAACACTTGAGCTGTTTACGACCAACCGCAAAATACAGTAGAGATTTACACTACAGTTTGTAAAAAGATTTTATCTTAAATTATTTTCTAACCTCAGCTAAAAATGTCAGCATGATGGCATCTGCTATGTTATTCTAATTGATAAAGAGATAATAAAAACAGTTCATAAACAAGCTTTCTGGTTCCAGAGAATCAAACAAGGATGTCCAGGTGACGTTTAAGAAATTCCCCAAATGGACATCACTGTAATATCTGCAACGCTGGTTCAACTTTTATTTTGAGCTAGACTTTGAAAAAAGGCCTCCCGCTGATTTCAAAATCCCAGGTGACTTCCTTCATAAGTTATTCACAAACTTGGGTGTCCATGAGTCCTGAAATCCGTCATGCCTCTTCTGTCCTCGTTGCTTTGGAGTGCCCTCAGCTTGCAAATTGTTTCATGGTAACATGCCAACAGAGTGACCGACAATAGAGACAGCTGCTAATATACAATGTCAGCAAGATGTCCTCTTCAACTTTTCAAGCCAGTTTAATTCTTCTGAGCAAGGCTGGGCTTAGAAACATCATTAAATCCCAAAGGGCTTCAAGTGGACTGCTATGTAGGCTACGTTGTATGTTGTTACCTAGCATAAATGTGTTTCACAATGCCATTGCACATAACACTAACTGTTTTAAAAAAACTGCAAATACAGTATATGTATAGTATTGACCGTACACTCTATCTATAAACCTTCCATGCGCACAGTCCTCACTCAGCATATTGACTTTTTTTTTTCAAGAAAACCCACTTTTCCCTTGTGACAGAGATGCTAATTGTTTCCACTGGGTTTACTGCCTTATTGCTAACAGCTGAAAATTACTCCACCAGTTTTTCAGTAATTTGCATCTCATCTAAAATAGTCTGGACTCATTATTTTCAGTGTTAAATAAATAAATAAAAAATATCCAAAGGCATTTATACATTAGGCGAGGTTTTGTTCAACACCTCTGCTTTTCTTCCCATTTCACAGACAGACCTCGCTCTAAAATGAATTCATCTTGGAGACAAAAGCATTAAGTGAATGGGCACATTAATGTGCAGGTGAAGATCGGTTGCATGTTTTTGGAGCAAATTGGTGAAAAGTGAAGACAAGAAGCCTTCAGACACAGCCGAGCGGTCAGGTGGGCTGCAGGTGGGCTGCAGGTGTGCATGTCGAGCGATCATAACCAAGGAACAGAAGACACGGTGACCAGCAACAATGACATCACAGATAGACAGAGAGAAAGAGAGAGGGACAGAGACTGGGTGGAGAGACAGAGGGAGCTACACAGTGATGGCTGAGAGGACGGGGGACCGACTGAGAAATAAACTTACTTGCAGGACAGCTGGTTAATACCATGTATGAAGTAACAGTCTCCTCCGTTGACGCAGTAGGACTTCTCAGAGTCATTGCAGTGCCGCGCATGACTCACACCTGGAGACAGGGTTGTGGTGGTCACTAGGAGAAACACAGATTGACAGAAAAGACACAGTGCATTACGCTGCAATCCTGCATGCGACGCCACAGTGTACACAGGCATTAGTCACTTTGTTGTGAGCTCCAGCTCTCCATTGGTTTTACAAGTGCAAAGGTCCCCAGGATACTTGTATTTTCTTATTCCAACCTTAAAGCTGAAAAATTAAGATATATTTGCAAGTAATAAAAATAATTATTCTGTTTTTACAACCGCTGCCTCTGCTTTACTTGTCTGCGTTATCCCCAGCCAGCCATGTGAAGAGAACACATGACGACAGTGACCGTAAACAAGGTTTGTGCTCGTATGATCAGACTCCTGCATCAAAAAAATCGGACGTATTTGAGCGATATATCAACACAAACATCAGCACATAGACAGAAGGACAGATAGAAATAAGTTGTTCTCACAGATCTGCACGCTGATTATACTTGTGGCGTTTTCTTGTCCTACTGAGTTTTCAGCCACACAAGTGTAGTTGCCAGAATCTTCCACACGGACACGACTGATCTGCACCTTTGAGTTTTTTCTTGAGCAAAAGGGAAGGAGAGAGGCAGAGACAATGTCAGTTATTATTCTTTCAAAAAGAAAAGCCTTCATCTACTTGTTTTCAGCATACATAAATGTAAAGACAGCTAACTTTGTTTTCTGTTTGGACATGCATTTACTGACCATTTAAAGTACTTTTGACATCAAGTCACATTTATTACAGGCACTACCTCACATATATGGCAATTTTAGAATGAACAATTAACTTGAATACATGTCTTTGGGAGAAAGCACGTACAAACTCCACACAGACAGACCCCAGCAGGGGTCTGAACCAGGAACCTTCTTCTAGTGAGGCAACAGTGCTAACCGCTACACCACCAGGCCTTTGACAATGACTCGGTAGTGTACTATGGGACTCTAAAGTTTTTTTTAGCTGGAAACTAACACTTTAGTAGCCATTGAAAGGAAAAAAGTATTGCTTTTATTAATTTGAGAGCATGTATTAATCAAACTGTACCTTGTGTGCATGTTTTTATTATTTTGTGCAGAGAAAGACTACAGCACTACGGCACACTGGCCCTTCACCCCCAAACTAGCCAGGGGGAACTTGGCCTATGTTATATATGAATGAGGGGATCTCTAAGATACTGACTACTACGGTTTTTCATGTAGGTTAAGCACCCAGTGGTCAACTTGAAAAACAGGACCTCCACTTGCACAGAGAGGATGCTGTTCTGGCAGGTAAAGGGTAGGAAAACTTAGAGCTGGTAGGTTCCATACTGCCTGCAATCAGAAGACGTTTCAAACCTCCATCTTAACCAGGTTTTCTCAGTGCACTAAAAACATCCTATTGTCCCAAACGTCATGTGCTAAAAATTCCTGAGCCCCACATGCAGACGTGTCTCTTGTCATCAATGCAAATCACAAAAGGTGCAGTTGTGTTTGTTGCTTTCAGCTATTTGTGGGACTCTTTTCTCTGTATTCAACATGCACAGCTTTGTGGCGTTACCTAAAGTCACAGGATCTATTTGTGCATCGTCAAAGATAGAGTGTAGTATGCATGAGTATTACTAATAAAATGAGAGCGCTCAACAGCGAAATTAAGTAAAAATATTCAGCATCATGAAACCAAATATCTGTATATCAACCTTATTTTAACAGAAACAGGTTTTATTTGTTTTATTTGCAGTAAGAACTACTCTACTCTCACTGCTAAAGTGAATCAGCAGTGCCTCTGATTGGCAGAGGTCACTGTTACCACGGAAATGTTTAAACCCCTGGACAACTGGGAGGACGGTGATTGCAGTAAGAAATGCAGCACTTACCACACTGACAGCTAGACTTTACTTTACTGAACAAACTAAAACATATATCAAGACTATGATAATGAAAAAAAAAACATTTGTGGTCGGACATCATTTGTTGTGGAATCTGGGAATTCCAATAGATTACAAGCTGGGTAGATCCTTCATTGTCAAAAGTGATTATATTAATTACATAGTCTTGTACCCTTGCCATTTTTTCCATTTTCTTTTCATTTTTGACCCAAATCAAATCTTTTCATGGCCACAATTCACAGGTTGGCTCGGCTCAAGGCTTTAACCTCCTAGGATCTGGTATCCACATATGAGGACATCACATTTTGGGTTGTCTAGACCAGCGGTCCCCAACCTTTTTAGTGCCACGGATCGGTTTAATATCGGACAATATTTTAACGGACCGGTCTTTAAGGTGTTGCGGATAAATACAACAAAATAAAATGCTACGACCGAGACAAAAACTGTGGTATTTTGTAAATATAATAATAAATGTGAATTCACTGTGTAATTGTGTAACTTTATTAGCAGCGTCCTCCTGAAATGTGCCAACAACATTCAGAGTAACATCCTCCTCTCTGCCCCTTAATGCTCTCTGGTCACTATGGTAACGCATAAATATTTATTTCAAAATAAGACGCACAACTACAACACGGGAAAAGACCCAGGGAAACCGAGTTAATGATAAAAACCCTGAAATCACATAAATTTCACACTCGCGCCTCAACTCTCACAGCCCGGTACCAAACGGCTAACCGCTGGTCAATACTACATTTTGCTCTACAAGGGCCTGATATCCACTTATGAAAACATTACACTGCCACTGTTCTATCAAAATTTAAAACGAATGTCCTCATAGTTGGATATCAGACCCTTGTAGAGCAAAATCAGGTAAAAAGATAATTCTTTGTTTTTACATTCATCAGGTCCCAATCAGCCCAAATAGGAAAGAGAAATTAAAAATGCATGCCATGAAAGAGTTTAGGTCTTAGGAGGTTAAAGTCGTTATATCGGGATTTTTTGAAATGTCAGTGGAGAAAATGAATGGAAAACTCACTTCCCAAGCGGGGCCCTTAAAAAGTGGGAGGTCACTGTTGAGCTCTAAAAGGTGAAAGATGATTAAATGCTCCATAGAGCAAGAGAAACCTGTCACATCAACTCCAGGCAGAAATATAACATTGAACTCATTCTTATGAGACTATATTAACTTGATGGTTACTCATTGTAGAACAGCGGAGTGATAGCATCAACCAAAACAGCTGTTATAGTACATGTGGATGACAGTTCTTGGTTTTTACATCATACCCTAAGAAAAAATATCTGCTTTGGCACACTCACTTGTTGGTTTTTATTTTGAGGTCTCTGCCTTTCTGAAGCTCGTGTCCATCTTTGTACCAGCGGAAGGAAGGGCTGGGATTCCCCGACGCCTCACACTTCAAGTACAGCTTCTTCCCTTCCATCAGAGATTGGCTGCTAATCATCCGCAACTTAGGAGCAGAGGCTGGCCAGAGAGAGACAAGAGACCAACAGACAGAGGGGCAGAGAAAGGATTGCATTATTGAAATGAATGGCAGGCATTCAATTAATCTATAAATGTAATTATCTGAGTCTGCCTTTTTCCCATAGTGTGTATGTTTCTTTGAGTGTGCGTTCATGTGTGTAACCAATGGAAATCTATAAGTGAAGGTTTAGATGTTGACCTGAGGGAACAGGTCAAAGTTCACATGGCTGAAATTCTCAAAGGAAAAACAAGGACAGACATTATACACAGGTGCATTAGCTCCAAAGCTTAACCTTAACCCAAATCTAATTCTTCAAGCCTAGAACAACCCAAAATGTCTTTGTCTTCCACAAATGTCCTTACTCCAGATGTCTAGAAGTCAAATTAGTCCTTGCACAGACAGATGTGTAAGGATATAGAGAGAGGAAAGGCTCTATGGTAAGGTGGTCTGAATCCTGAAAAGCAAAGACAAACTGAAACCTTGTATCGAGGGAAAAAGTCTTGCCACAGAAACTCTCTGCAGTAGATTTTCACTATAGAGCAAAGTGTGTGTGTGTGTGTGTGTGTGTGTGTGTACGTGTACTTCATCAGTCCCAGGAGTCTTTCACTCTCTCTCTTTTCTCCTTAAAAATTACAACAGACTGCATCACTGACACCAGCGCAGGCAACACAAGCACACAGAAGCTAAAGCAAAGAGACAGCTCAGCACCATCTACTACCATTTATATACACACACAAGCAGTGAAACCCCCCGATTTTACCCCACATGTGCAGACACACTCACACACAGACACAGTGCAGTGATAGGACATGCTTGATCAAATGGAAGACAACTGTTGTATAGGCTCCTCACAGCACTGCTGTATCTTCCATTACTCCTCACATAGGTGCAGTAGATACACTCTAGAGCTTTAGGCATCTATATGAGACTCTGTAAGTCAATATATGATTGTGTACATCCTGTCAGTTGTGCAAACATGATAACTACAATTAGCTGCTGTCATGGTTCTAAGGTTTTGTGCTTTTGAATTCATAGTGAACATATTTTGAGTTTGGGGTTCTGATTAAGCTTTACTGTTATTCTGCTGTGTGAAGTTTTCATTTTTGGGTGTGTTGATCATGGCTGTTGAGCAAATTCAATACCTCTTTTGACTTTACGTTTTTCCTGTTAAGTATATTTTCAGTTTTACAATCCTTTGTTTGGGTTGAATAATGAGTTTTATTGATTATAGTTTCCTGTCTCATGTTCATCTCTTTGTGCTAATGTTTTGGTTTCCCTTTGTTTTCCAGTCTGGCATCTTGTTAGTGTGTTAGTGTTCATGCCTGTATTAATTTTCATGGTTATTCCTTGTTTTATTTTGAAGGTTGGTTTTCCTTCTTGCTTTGTGTTAGACTTACTTCCTGCTTTGGGTTTGTGTTAATTACTTATCCTGTGCACCTGTGTTCAGTTCCACTCCTTTATCTACTTCCTAATCAGCTGCCAGTGTATATATAGTCCAACCTTTTAGCCTTTTGTGTATATGTGTATATAGTCTAATCTTCTCCGTGTCCTTTGACAGCATGCAGCCCTCACACGGGGCGATTAACGCTGACAGCACAAATTTTTACATTTGTGTTGTTTTGTTCAGCGAGGGGCTGCACGGCACTAACGCGCCAACGAGCTAACCGTGCTAATACGTTGACGCCGTGCAGCCCCACACACGGGGTGATCCGCTAATTTGTTAACGGAGTTTTGCTGCATTAATGCGGTTATGGCGTTAACGTTATTTTAATGAGATTAATGCTGACAGCATTATAGATATACAGTAGATGAAGAATATACACACCAACCAGTCACAGAATACACATTTTCCCTTGTGATCGGAGGTTGCCAGGGGGTTGCTGACCAGTCTCTAGGCCTGTATGACTGCGGCCTGAAGTGGCTGAAAAACGGTAAAACAGGATATAAACTTTCTGTGTCCTCAAGTCTCCGCTCAGGTTCCTGTGACGTAAAGCTAATCAGCGCACAATGAGTGCAGACATCCACATGCCTGTCTATTTTTTGTGACCGTGTGGACTAGCCCGTAGAGAATTTACATTACACTGCACCAACTACGCATGTGCCCAGACAGCAAACTTCAAAGAAGTATAACAGGAATAACTACTCAATCGTCGGGCATCCAGCTGTCCATGTCCGCAACCAAGTATAATCCAGGCTTCTACATGGAATTTGCCAAATGATCCACATGACAAATGAGCTAGCTGATCTACGTGTAAGAAAATCTCGTAAGCGCCCATAAATATTATATCAAAAGTGAATGAAGCCACCATGATATCACCCAGTGCTTTGTAAGGTCCTGTTTGGAAGCTGTGATCTACACATTTTTGCCTCTTGGTGTTTCAAAACTGGGCTTGGTTGATTGCAGCAATTAGCTAGTCAGAAGGCAGGCCTGCCCTATGGCACTCTGGCTTGGTCTTCTTTTTTACTTTAATGTGGGACCAAAATTTACAAAACGGAAATGTTGTCTCAACTGAAACCAAAAACTCATTTGGAAGTTTACCATTAAAAAGAATGTGGGTTTAAGTCAAATCCACATAGCTTTCACCTTTATGTCCAGGTTTTCTGTGTAGTCCATCCACACTCCAAATACTCCAAGATAGTCAAAACTGAGTTGTTTGGCAAAAATAAATACAGAAGACGGCTTGTGATATTTTTTTTTTGTAATTTCATCAAATCTCACGAAAACCAAAGCCCCACTCCAACTAGGAATTACTGTGTATCCAACTTGTGATATGTTTCATTTCTTTAAGCTTTCTTTGTGTCCTAAAGTTAAAAAAAGTTTGTCACACTGTTTATGCTGTAGTTTATTTTATATATTTTATATTTAGCCAGAAATGCCCTCTATACCACCAAATTTATAAAAATTCATCGACTTTTCTTGCTTGAGTAACTTTTACTAAAACCTTAGACACCATCTGTTTAAAAGATGGTATTGCCCTTTTAAAATATGACTTTTAGTTTTTAGCCAAATGGTTTGGTGCTGAATGCCACAGAGGAAATAGGAAATTACACAGGTGGAAGTCAGTCTAGAAAAAAAAACATACAACCTCTGAATGGATCTGATAAGTAGATCCTCCACGAAGCACCGTCCAAACAGCTTGCAGTTATATAAGTGGGATTCAAGTATGTGTTTGTGACTCAAAAGAGAACAAGCAGGATGCCTACTTACATTTAGTAAGATTTAGTGTTGTCACAGTCTCCGCACACACTGTGGATGTGTAATTCCCCGTCATGCCAAAGTAAACCATCCCAGCATCATCACATGCTGTCTCTGTCTCGCTCCATGGCTCCTGGTTTGTAATGAGTAATGCTGAAGAATAGCAGTGTGGACATCTTCAAAATACAAACTTTTGAATACTTCACTTACTATTTTGATATGTTCTCCACGTGCAACTGTCTCAGTAATACGTGGATCCATTGATCATCATCTTTGACTTGCAGGTAATGTCATAGCCAACACTGCATTTACGATGTTAGAGATGCTTGACTTAACGTGTTCACAATAACATCAGGTCAAAGTGTATAATTATCATTCACTGCAGTCGACTGCATTCTTTAGAACATTTTAGCATCTTTCAGCTCACTGTTTTGGTTTAAGCCCCCCAACTGATCTTGTTCAGTCTCATCATTCTTATCTACAGGCAGCTGTTTTCAAGGAAGAAACAAACAACTGGAAAGGCAGTCAACAAGCTAGCTTTGAATACAGTTGTGCAGGTAACACCTCCAGCTTGGTTATTTGTAAGTGATTACTTGGTTTACTGACGGCTGTACAGTCTACAGTTTGTTGTTATTATCAGCATTGAGTGAACAGTGTCACCTGCATCAGGCTTTTCAGAGTAGATAAATGTATAATAAGAAATTATTATCCTCACTCTGTTTAGTCATTCTAAGTCAAAATCGGGTTATGATTAAAAAGCTTGATGAGTTTCAAGGCCTGAGTTTTGGACTCACAGGGCTTACGTGCACATTCACAAATGGAACAGTATAAATATGACAGAACCCAGGCTGCACATGGAAACCCGACTTGTTCTGCAGTGTGTTCCTGTTTCTTCTCATCACAATAAAAGGTTTTATCTGATAAGGACTGCATGATTACTGCACATAAAACTGCTGGTAGATGTGGTGTTAAACAAAATCTTGCATTAGTTACATAGAGTTACTGGAAGAAAAACTAACTATATTTGTGTAATTATTCATTAAATATAGGAAAAATATATAATCTTTATTTACTATTATTATTTTGATCACACTATGTGTTTCCACATATGGTTGGCAAGCAATAGGTTGCAAGTTCAATTCTAGCCAGAGACATAAATCCCCTTTGGTGTTACATAAAACTGCCAAACCAAGATCCCTGGTGACAAAGGATCACCAAAAGTAGCTGCTTCTACTTTTTTTTTAATTTTATTTTAGTAGTACTGTAAAAGTGACACTAAACCTTTTTTTAAAGTGTGGTACACATGTACCTTACCAGTCAATAATGTAAAATTTGACTTTAATTCAAGCTTTCCTTTATAAATGTATACACTCACACATATACACAGACAAGTCTTGATTTACTGCACCACAAAGACACTCAGCAAGTTGTGTTGTGCTTCTTCACATTCAGCTATAGAATAGCTTCAGGCTGTATTTTTCATGTATCCAGAAGCAAGAATGAAAAGAAATGGTCACGTTTTTCCATCTGTGAATACAGTGGTGTGAAAAAGTGTTTGCCCCCTTCCTGACTTCCCATTTTTTATGTTCGTCACACTTGAGTGTTTCAGATCATCATACAAATATTAGATACAATAATAAACAAAGATGATGCAAGTAAACACACAATGCAGTTTCTAAATGAAGGCGTTTATTATTAATGGGGAAAAAACAAAAACCTACATGGCCCTGAACCTGATAAGTGGTTGGGCCATCCTTGGCAACGCTGTGGAGGAGTTTTGGCCCACTCATCTTCGCAGAACTG